AAAAAGTTGTTTTGATTTTTTTCACAACAAGTATATGGTTTAATATTAAAAGCATATATACAGTGAAAGTTGTCTGAATGTCTGAAGGAGCCCCACTCTCCCCTAACCAGTTCTTTTTATAGTTTATTTTTATGAACGAGAGAGTAATTAGCATAATTTTAACTGGTACCTTCGACCACTCCATGGGCGTGCTCAAGATTAATTGAAAAATTACTTTGAATAATTGTAAAAAATAAATGAATTATTTCAGTGTTATAAAGTGTTATGTGTATGTAAACAAAAGTGACCTCTTTTGTCACACACTATATTAGAACTGACTGGCCTACATTAAAAAGGGTTTTAAAAAATTCACATTTTTTTTAATTTTTAAAATTACAAAAGAGAAAAAGAGTTTTTAAAACCGTCTAAGGTATGTTAAATAGATGAATAAAAATATTAATATAAAACTTACAGCTACTTGTTACAAATCCAAATCAGATTCAGAAGATGAACTTTCACAACCAAGATTTATAATAACTGGCTCGATCATTTTATCAGTAATATTGTCCAGCTTCCACATTTTTTCCTCTTCTTTAATAGTGTGATTTACTGCCTTTTCCCAGTTTTCAGGTTTTACATTATTTACGGCCTCCAAAAACAACTGTTTAACACCATGAATTTTAAAAGTGGTATTTTTTCTTGAAACTTCACTCTTTATCTGTGCCCATACCAGTTCAATCGGGTTTAATTCACAATGATATGGTGGGGATCTAAGTACTGTCATTCCACGATTTTTGGCAATTTCATCAATTTCGTATTTTTTTAAATTTTTCTTTATGAAGGGCACACAACGAATAAAGTTCCTTTCTTATAGATCCGGGATGGTACGTAATATTTTTTGAACTCAGCCAATTCTGCAAGTCTTTTTTTAACCACTTGGTTGTGGGCAGTCCTTCTATAAGTCTGGAGTGATAACTTGCATTATCCATTACTATTACTCAGTCTTAGGAAGATCTATCATTTGTTCGAACCATTCTTGAAAGACATCAGCGTTCATGTCTTCATGGTAGTCACCGGTACGAGTTGATTCAAAAGTTAATAAACCACCTTCAACAAAACCGTCTGAACTGCCAATGTGTACTATTATCAGCCTGCGTCCCTTTCCTGATGGTGGGTTTCAACCAGTAGATAAGTTATTTACAAAAGCGTGCCTTTGACTTGTAACAGTTTCATCCTGCCAAAATTTATTTGGTGTATGACCCTCGTTGATCCATGTTTCATCAAGATAAAATATTTTTCTTTTTTGGTTTCTCATTTCCTTTATGGTTCTTAGAAAATGTCTTCTCCATATAACAATATCGCTTTTTTCTAATAAAATAGACTTTCTGGATTCTTTTTCCAGCGGAGCCTATTTCTTTTAAAAGTTTCCATAACGTACTTCGACTCATTTCTGGGTAATCCTTATCATCTCGAACTGAGACAAGAACTTTATCCAATGTTGGAAATTCTTGTCTAAAGAAGAATTCATGCACTTTCCGTCGAAGTCCTTCTTTAAAATGATATTCTATTTGAAATTTTGGTTTCCCTGGAGCATTACGTCGCATTTGAAAACTACCACATTTCTCTTCTTTAATAACTCTGTAAATCGTAGATTTCCCAACACCAAGTGTACTGCTAACTAACTCAACGGTCTCATCAACACTTTCACATAAACGTTTGTCTGTAAATGATTTAAAATAATTAAATATTAATGTTTTTTCATTAACTGTTAAAGGACCAATTTTTCGGCGTTTACACGGCACGTCCAAATTTTCCATAACACTAGTATACACAATAAACTGCACCTTGCAACTGAAGTACCTACTTTTAGTGAACTGTTAAGAATTTTGAATACGCCACTTGGACCTTCCTACAAAATGGAAAAACCCACTATCACATTTTCTGTGGAATAAGTTTAGAAGGTAATTATCTAGTCAATTACTGTCGTAGATTCCTGGAATTAAAGAATTAAATGTTTGATTGTTGAAACCCTTACTTCGTGGAATGCACTCATTTCAGATAAAATAAAACGTTTTATTTTATCTAAAGAATTAAACTTTATTTTGCAAATAGGTAGGTACTTATTAAACTTTTATTGGTTATATATAACCAGTAAAATAAACATCTTACATTTCTTGCAAATTCATTAGTACCTGTTAACCTCCATCACTCCGACACTGGCAACCTTATTTAGGGATTAGTAACCCTCACAACTATTGTATTCTATTCTGCTCCAACCTTTATACCTGGTGGTCATACTCAATTTAAAATTGTTTTCCTATATACTTCTGTAAACTTGTTGACAAATATCTGTTTTTCATTGAGTCACCCGTATCAACAGTTTAGGGATTTGCATACATAATTTATTGTTTTATTACTCTCTCATACATAAAAATACACTATAGGAAGTTCTTTTCGATAAGAATTACTTCCGAAGGCAACTGTTCCGAAGGTATTGTTGGTGAAATCGGGCATTAGTGTCTTAAGGGCTCATAAATCTGCCCCGATCTACCATAACCATAACACCAAAACATCGTCAGTGAGCGGAAGTTGGCTTTGACGGTTGTCGCATCACCTTTGATAGTGTCACCTGAACCAATAGCAGAGGAAACGCTATAAACAAGTAGTTCCACACCACGGTTAATCAACACGGAAACCAATTTATGATTACAATGAAAGAAGATAAGTGTTAAGAGATAATTCTTGAAATGGATTTCAATAATATATTTAAATATTAATTAAAGTTACGAATATGAATACTTATACCTACATATTGTCCAACAATATGTAGGTATTTCAACAGACTACCTACATATTCTTCCTTCACATATAAATTTATGGGTTTCGTTGAGTTTTTATGCTTTTTGCTGAACAATTAGCGCGGTTGTTTGCGTAATATATTAATGGATATGAAATTTTTAATTAGAATATTCGTTTGAGTACTACTGATAAGACAGACTCATTAGTACATGAATTTAAAAATAAAAATGTAACACCATTGTTCAATACGTAAATAGTCCTTGAAATTTTAAAGTATATTACTAATACAGTATGAAATTACCAAGATATAAAAACTCTACATTTTTATGTTTTTACTCGCATTTCAAATTTTGATTAATTTAATTGTTTTGATAAACGCTTAATTTTTTGCAATTTCTTATAATGCTATATATACATGATAATTTTAGACAAAAATATAGAATATAGACATCCATTAAAAAAAAAACAGTGTAAATGACGTGTACTGTCTACAATTTAATGAACGGTAGGCCTGGAAAAACATTATCATTTTAATAATTTAATTAGGTACCTATACTCGATTTGGAAATGCATGACAGTGTAGTTTTTATGGCAGAAGATTATAACGGTCTTTATACAAGACTGTTCTTCTTCTTAGCCTTCTCTTGTTCATAGGCCTCTCCCTAACTCCTTCCATCGATCTCTATCCTGAGCAACATACTTCCAATTTGTTTTAGCTATTCTTTTTATGTCGTCTACTCACCTCATCTGTGATCTTCTTTTTGGTCGTCTACCTTTGTAAAGTCTCCAATGTTGTATTGGTCTTTTTGTCTAGCAGTAAACAAACTGCATTTAAGTTTGTTTGGAAAAGTAGGTATTTAGCAGTTCTTCTTCTTCTAGTAGTGCCTATCCGTTTCGGATGTTAACGACCATCATGGCAATCTGTATTTTGCAAATTGCTGCTCTGAAAAGATTTGTACTTGTTGTGTTGAATCACGTACGTAAATTTTTCAGCCAGGAAATGCTTCGCCTTCCGGGTCCTCGTTTTTCTTCTTCTTCTTCTTCTACTTTTCCTTTGCAGTCAGTGGAGCGAAAAATACGGTCTTACCTCCGAATTTTTTTACTGTGAACCGATTTGCATGAAATTTTGGAACTAGGCTCATCTTACCCTTAACTTCAAAAGTGAAAATGATATGATCTCCGCAACCTCACTGGGGGTGATTGCCCCCCTTCTCAGGGGTGTTTTTTTAAATAACCTCGGATATCGATAGAAGGCCTAATTTTAAGCACAAAATCATCTATAAAGTTTTTCGAAAAATCCAATACTTTTCAAGTTATTGGCTATTAAAAATTCGCAATTTTTTTACGTTTTTCATCGGTTTTTTGCAAATATCTCCAACAATATTCGTTTTATAGAAAATTTTATAAAAAACAAAATTGCAGCATTTAAAAAAATGAACAATTTGGTTTTTTATAAAGTATTCTAAGTGCAATATTAAGTTAGATATTAAAGGTCAAAGCTGATTTTTATTTTGTTTGAAATTTAATCGATGTGGCCAATGCCATCTAGCGGCCAGCAGATGCATTTAAGGCATTCTAATAAAAAAGAGTTTTGTAGTGCTTGAAATAAGCTTTAAAATGAGGACTATTAAAAGTCTTTTGCAAGTAAAATAAGTGAGTTCTATTGCAAATAAGAGGAGCATCTAATGTTTTTTCTTTTAAATCAATGGGTTTCATAAGTGCCCATAAGATGATTGTGTGCTTAAAATTAGGCCGATATCCGAGGTTATTTTGAAAAAAAAAAAATTCACCTCCGAGAAGGGGTGGCAACCACCCCCAGTGGGTTGCTGAGATCAGATCATTTTCACTTTTGAAGTTAATGGTAAGATGAGCCTAGTTCCAAAATTTCATGCAAATCGGTTCACAGTAAAAAAATTAAATTATATGAATTTTGCCTTATGGTAGTTTTTACATTGTTGTCAGATTTTTGTTTTTCTGTAAATATAACGAACTTATTATTTATAATAGATCACCCAGCATATTTTTTCTTTTGAAATCGTTATATTTTTCATGTAATATTCCCTATACCAAAATAACATAATTCCGAAGTTAGAACCAAATTTACATTATACCTGTCAAGTTAATCGACATATGTCATAGTATTAGTATTAAATATAACATAATATTTTATATTTAATATATGTTATATATAATATGTTATATATTATATAAACAATACTTACATCTAAATCATAGAAGTAGTCCTTGGATTGTTGGGCCTTCTCAAAATCTGCTCGCAGCGCCAAATCGTGTATTTTTGGGCATTCGCCCAAATCCATTCGCTGTTGAAAATCGTTATTAGAACATGTTCTTAACAAATAATGTAAATAAAGTGAAATAAAAAATATTACTTTTCAATTTAAATAGAAGTGTAAATAAAGAAGACATACTCAGAAATTTTTTTTGCAATTAACATTTTCCCATGGCATTTTCCTTAGTTTAGTGGAATTCTAAAGCTATCTTTTGATCATAAGAGACGTTATCTGTGAAGAATATAATCATTATAGATCTGAGGAGCAAAATTGGTTCAGAGCCGGTAGACCTAAAATAAAAATTTTTTTTGCATAACCAAAGTAGTAGAAAAAAAAGGTATCCATAGCACAAGAATTAGATTTACAAAGGTGATTTTAACGGAAGTATATGATACTGCATCCATTAATAAGCAGCGGGAACATCTAGGAAAAACGAATGTAGATATTCTCATTGATGCTCTGAAAGAACCGTACAGAAACACTACCTCCAAAATTAAACTGAAAAATCAGATTCCTGGTCACTAAGGACTCAAACAAGGATACTATATATCTCCAGAATTATTTATTATATACATTGACGAAGCACTCAGTGGAAACAAAAATATAATGTGTGTCAGGCAAACTAGATAAAACTGAAGAAGCCCATTGCAAAATTGAAAAAAATAAAACAGTGGAGAAGATCGAACTGCTTTGGAAGTGGATCGTTAGGCAAGATGTAAAGGGCTGTAACTCTAGATTAATGTTATCATGGCCCAATATGGGAATTTACATTACGACAAAAACGTTTTCTGAGTATGTCTAATATATCTACCAAAATTTTTTTTGAAATATTTGAAGAAATTTTTTTTTTGATGTGTTGATCGTGAACGTTATCAAAATCCTAAATCACAAAAATATTTTTCCTAGACGAGATGTCTAAAAAACATTAACTGTAAATACAAGTGCAACTTTTAAAAGCTAGCACATCTACTTACAATTAATGTATCGAATGAAGTTGAATAAAAATAATTAGTAAAAAAATAAATATATAATATGACACTTACAATTAGGGTTAATTCCACTGAAAAAATGGACTCGAATAATCCAAAGCTGAATCGAGTGTGATTTTCTTTAAAAAATGACAAATAAGTGACTACTGAAGAATGGGAAATGTAAACAATACAAACGCACTAATCTATTCAAATAGAAACATTGCGCAGAGTCTTCGTTAGACGCAAACCATCACTAGCTTTACGTCAATCGAGTTTGTTAGACCTTCACTTCAGTTTTCGATAAATACTGTTGGGTTACATACCCCTGATTGCGACCCTGTGCTTTCGCAAAGGGGAGAGTGCTCTTTTCACCACAGAGGGTGTTCCACGCACTTTCTATAGATGCCGGCATGTTCTTGTCGTCCGGTTAGGTTCCAGATCTTCTTATTATCCTTAAAGGTCGCAATTATTAATAATTAGAATTTGTGACATGTGTAATTAGTCTTTTGAGTTTAATAAAGTTAGTTAAATTACGTTGTGCTTCGCTTAATCTTTGAACCCACAGAAAAACGTAACAACTGGTGTCAGAAGTGGGATTAAGTAAAAAAAGTAAGTTTCGAGAATGTGTATGGTCAAAACCAAAAGCGAGACCAAGATGGAGGAAATTTAAGATTGCAGCTATTGAACAACGTCAAAGAGAAAAAAAAAAAGAGACCTACGAAAAACGGCAAGAAGAAAAAGAAAAACGTCGACAAGATGCTGAAGAGAGACGTCGTCAGAAAGAAAGTTCTAATATAGTTTTCTCTGATTTTTAACTATATGATATCCTTTGAATGTGATTAAATGATATGTTACGTGTTATCTCTTAGGTTCTGCTATTATCTGCTTAGTTTTGATTACCCTTTTTGTTCCAAGTCTGTTCTAGACCGACTGTATTGCAGCCAAGTTGCTTATTGTATTGCTCTATTAACTATTATACAAATTGTCGGGTCTCCGACAGCTCTGCTAAATAAGTCTCCGGCAGCATCTAGTAATACTGAGTCTGACACAGAGGTGGTCCCTCTACTCCTTCGGGTATACATGGATATCCCATTCCCAACCAATAGAAAGTGACATAAATCTTCTCAAGACAAAAAAAAAGAGTATCAGAAAGATACCAATAATTATCGTGGTATCTCAGTAACTAGTACATTTAGTCGTTTTTATGGAAGCATATTAAGGAACGTGTCTCACAATAGCAACTACTTGGGAACTATAATCAATGAGTCGTGGGACAATACCCAAGAGATTAAAGAGATTAAATGTCGCATCGGAAAGGCCAAAAGTGCATTCTGGACTATAAGCTCAGTATTCAAGAGCCATGATCTCACACTAAAAACAAAAATAAGGCTCCTTAAATGTTATGTGCAGAAACGTGGTCATTGAAGGCGGAAACTCTATCAAAACTTCAGGCTTTTGAGCTGTGGTTATACAGAAGGTTCCTGAAGATACCATGGACAGACAAACTCACCAATGAAGAAGTACTGCGGAGGATGAACACAAGTGCGCATTTGGTCGACATCGTGAAGGGCCGTAAGTTGCAGTACTTGGGACATATAATGAGAAATCAAGACTATCCTGGGTTACTAACCTGAGAGCATGGTATAGAAAGACCTCAACACAGCTATTTCGTATAACAACCAACAAAGTCATCATAGCCAAAATGATCGCCAACGTTCGGAACGGACAGGCACCCTAAGAAGCATATTAAGGGACCTTCTAGAAGACACATACTGCAATTACCAGGAGAAGGAAGAAAGCGGATTTAGGACTGGCCGGTATTGTACTGATAATGTGTTTTCCAACAAAGGGCTCCCAAGGTGTCCTGGATGGATCCTGAGCAAGACTACCTCGCCTGAACTGAAAGTGCCTCATTTACACACGTTCGTGTATGTCGATATGGGTATTTACAATTGGTCAATCGTAGATGTTTCAAGGCGGGGCAATACAGATCAAGGTACGAATAAGTGTACTATTAATAGCCCACAATGACAGTGTCACTTAAACAACTGTAACTTGTAGGTTATACTCCAGTTGAGTTCAAAAATGTCGTCAGATGACGCTCGAAGGTTTGCTACTGTCTAACTCATACGGATATTTATAATTGGTGACTTCATCTATATGTCCGGCTGGTGATGTATTAAGCGATGCTATAATACCTATATAACTTTATCACACTTTATCGAAAATCAGATTACACCCAAAAACTCGATTGCCGTAAAGTGTGAGCCTCGTTTTAAGTCTTCTATTCATTTTACATCGGCTTGATAGAATACAAATTAAAATCATTAACAAATAAACGATAGATATATGTTTTATATTAATACTCACTAAAAACAAGCCTTGTATGGAGGATTTTTGAGTTCGATTTATAATACATACTCACTAAAGGTCCGGTGCTCAAACAATTTGTTCGTTTTGTATGTAGTACAACACATGCAGATCTTGTAATCAGGCCTCCCATTTAATGAATGAATGAAAAAATGAATTTAAATACGATAATAGTTATTTGCTCGAATGTATGAAGGGCAAAAAATGATACGTTATTTCTCAAGTAAGAGTTATCGCGCGATACAGTAATTACTTGAAAGCAATAACGTCATTTTTAGACCGTCATATATGAAGTTTTTTTTCTACAATTACTTAATACAATAAAAATATCTTTAAATCAACTTTATTGTCACTATTTATAACAAATGTTGGACTACATATGTCTCTAAATTTGTAATTAATTGTTAGACGATTATTTGTAATTCTAAAACTGAATTTTTAGTAGGCGACGGCGAGCTTTAGGCGAAGAGGCTCAAAACATGCTTTAGTTTTCGATAAACCTATAACTAGCTGGCAACCGAGCAAATTAGATACCAAAATGTTCATAATAAAAATCTATACTCCTTTTTTTAATAAAATTTTTTGATGTGAATCAAGAAAAAAGCAAAAAATTCGATTTTATAATGTTCAGAAATTTTATATTTAACTTAAAATATCTCGGCTCTCGGTGTAGGTGTAGTGACGTAATCGTTAATTTTTTTAAATAAAAATCGGTATAATGCGACACCTCATTTTAACGAGAATTTAATTCTCTATTTAACGACATTACATTTTTAACAAAAACATTTTTTTTTAAATTTAAATTAAACTAAATCACAGCTAATGATTTAATTCATAATGTAGTTTAAAGTAACCAAATTATGCATAACAATTATTTGCCATCCATCGGTTTCTTGACAATATGCGGAGCTACGGACACATTCATCAAGTACATTGCGGATGACTTCTGGAGTAATTAGAATTTCAAGTCCTGTAAGTTTTGGGGTCTATTGGCATAAACTTTTGATTTTATGTAACTCCTCAGGAAAAAGTCTAGAGGTGTTAGATCTGACGACTTGCTGGCCACTCTTTAAAACCTAGTCTTCCGATGCATCTCCTTGGAAAGCAATGATATAAAAATTGACGTACTTCACGTGCGTAATGCGAAGGGGCTACATCTTGTTGAAACCAGATATTTTCTCTAGGTAAATTTGGATTATTGTTAGCAAATACAGGCATATTTTGATTTTTAAAAAAAGTTAAATAACGTTCTCCTGTTAGATTTTCTTCAAAGAAAAAGGGCCAATGATTCTGCCATTAATGATCCCTGCCCATACATTTACTTTATGAGGATACTGCGTGTTTGACTCAGTTATCCAATGTGGGTTTTCTTGATTCCAATATCTGCAATTTTGAAGATTCACGGTACCATGTATAAAAAGTGTGGCTTCATCGGAAAAAAGGATTTGATTGATGAAATGTAAATAGGGATACATAAATCTTGCATAATTTCAGAAAATTAAAGCCGGCGATTGGGATCGTCGTCATTTAATTCCTGATGTAGTTGAATTTTGTAGGGATGGTATTTTTCTTTTTTTTTTTTAAATAAGTATTACCGATCGTTGGGAAACTCCGGCATATTCACCCATTTGTGTTAAACTACTGTGAGGATTGTCATGTACAGTTAATAAAATATCAAGCTTCACATTG